TGCTCTTCCGATCTCCCCAAAACCCCAAAACCCCAAAACCCCTAAAAGTAACATTAATAAGAAAATAAAAAATGAGTCAAATTATTAATGGAATATTAATGAAAATAAAATTAGATTATTTAGAGAGAAGTGTTATTTTTATTAATAAGAATTTACAATGGGATAATGCGTCGCAGTTAATGGAGGAAATCCTAAAAAAGCAAAAGATCTATCTTACCTTACCACACATAACTAGGAAATAGAAGTATGGAAATAAGACTAGATTATACAAGACGAAAAAAAGCAACTAGAAAAATTTAGTGAATCTTAAACTCAGATTTTTACAATCTAAAAGGACATATTTTCTAAAAAATACAAACTAACTAAAGAAATACTTGGTAAAGGAGAATTCGGATTAGTCGGGAAAGCAATTAGGAAAGTTTCTATTAAAAATTGGGAATAATCTCATGAAGATGAAAAAAAGGTAGTTGCTATTAAAGCAATCGCAAAATAAAGATTAGACTAAGACATGATTAAACACATTAGATCTGAAATGAAAATTCTTAATACACTAGATCATCCCAACATCATTAAGTATTATGAAGACTTCGAAAATGACACTCATATATTTCTCGTGATGGAATTATTCGAGGGAGGTACCTTATATGAAAAAATGATAAAGCTTGTTGACCGTAAAAAGACTTTTTCTGAGTTTGACGCATGTCTCATTATAGAGAAATTACTTAGAGCAATTGCATTTTGTCATGAGAATAATATTTGCCATAGAGATTTAAAGCCTGAAAATATCCTTATAAACTAAAACCTAGAACTTAAGATTATAGACTTTGGACTTTCAAAGCAAAGAAATAGGAATCTAAGAGTATTTAAAACTAGAGTTGGATCTCCTAGCTATATTGCTCCAGAGGTTCTATAAACTGACTAATATGGATTTGAATGTGACATCTGGTCCATCGGTGTAATATTGTATGTTTTGGTAAGCGGATATATGCCTTTTGGTGCTAAATCAATGACAGAGCTATTAGCTAAAGTTAAAAAAGGATATTATGATTTCAGAGCTCCTACTTTTGATAAAGTTTCTTCTTAGTGTATGGATTTGATTTCAAAGATGATGAGTTTCTACCCTAAGAATAGACCTATTGCAAGCAAAGCACTACAGCATGAATGGTTTAAAATAAATTAGGCAAAAATATCAAAAACAGTTATTGAAAAGGATGTATTATTAAAGTTAGTAGAGTATAGAAATATTCCAATAGTAAAAAGGGCTGCTCTAAAAGTAATTATTCGAACATTAGATGATGCTTAAACTTCATTTTTAAGGAGCTAATTCCTAGCATTGGACTAATTAAGATGTGGTCTAGTTGATATTAATTCTATTAAGGATGCTTTTGATCAAGTAAATATCCCTGCAGATGCTGAAACTTTAGAATCAGTTGTTGAAAGTGTTTCATGTAATAAAACTGCTAAAATTAACTATTCAGAGTTTTTAGCTGCTACTATTGATATGCTTTCACTGTTGACGGAAGAGAACTTATGGATGTTGTTTAAGTTCATAGATAAGGAAGATCAAAATGAGATTGACTTTGTCTAAATAGAATACATTCTTAAATAACTTGAAATACCTTACAAAGCTAAAGAATTGTAGAATTTGTTAAACAATTTCTCGAAATAAAAGCCAAATAAGCTAGTTTATGATGAATTTAAGGAAATGCTTTTATGCGATGATTATTCCTATATATTGGAGAATATCAATGAGATGTAGGAAGAAGATTTGCTAAGAAATGATTAGCTTTTGCAATCTTAATTGAATCCAAAAAGCCTTATTTTTACAGTCTAAGAAAATAATAGAGTTTGAAAAATTCTAATATGATTTAACGCATTTTAAATTTACTTAATTTTATATTTTTCCTGATAAACGAATCTATTTTTATAATTTTCTTTACGGGGTTTTGGGGTTTTGGGG